TCACTCTCAATCAATTTTTATGGCCTCTTTGGAAATGCATATCGATCACTCCATCCTCTGACATGGTTGCTATGACATTAGCCTCTATTGGCATGTACAGTTGAAGTCGAAAGTTTACATACACTTAGGTTTTACATACACTAGTTTTTCAACCACTCCACACATTTCTTGTTAACAAACTATAGTTTGTAAACTCTACTTTGTGCATGACACAAGTCAGTTTTCCAACAATTGTTTACAGACATATTATTTCACTTATAATTCACTGTATCACAATTCCAGTGGGTCAGAAGTTTACATACACTAAGTTGACTGTGCCTTTAAACAGCTTGGAAAATTCCAGAAAATGATGTAATGGCTTTATAAGCTTCTGATAGGCTAATTGACATAATTTGAGTCAATTGGAGGTGTACCTGTGGATGTATTTCAAGGCCTACCTTCAAACTCAGTGCCTCTTTGCTTGACATCATGGGAAAATCAAAAGAAATCAGCCAAGACCTCAGAAAGAAAATTGTAGACCTCCACAAGTCTGGTTCATTCTTGGGAGCAATTTCCAAATGCCTGAAGGTACCACGTTCATCTGTACAAACAATAGTATGCAAGTATAAACACCATGGGACCACGCAGCCGTCATACCGCTCAGGAAGGAGACGCATTCTGTCTCCTAGAGATGAACGTACATTGGTGCGAAAAGTGCAAATCAATCCCAGAACAACAGCAAAGGACCTTTTTTGAAGATGCTGGAGGAAACAGGTACAAAAGTATCTATATCCACAGTAAAACTAGTCCTATATCGACATAACCTGAAAGGCCGCTCAGCAAGGAAGAAGCCACTGCTCCAAAACCGCCATAAAAGTTTGCAACTGCACATGGGGACAAAGATCTGACTTTTTGGAGAAATGTCCTCTGGTCTGATGAAACAAAAATAAAACTGTTTGGCCATAATGACCATTGTTATGTTTGGAGGAAAAAGGGGGTGGCTTGCAAGCCGAAGAACACCATCCCAACCGTGAAGCGCAGGAGTGGAAGCATCATGCTGTGGGGGAGCTTTGCTGCAGGAGGAACTGGTGCACTTCACAAAATAGATGGCATCATGAGGAAGGAAAATTATGTGGATATATTGAACCAACATCTCAAGACATCAGTCAGGAAGTTAAAGCTTAGTCGCAAATGGATCTTCCAAATGGACAATGACCCCAAGCATACTTCAAAAGTTGTGGCAAAATGGCTTAAGGTCAACAAAGTCAAGGTATTGGAGTGGCTGTCACACAGCCCTGACCTCAATCCTATAGAAAACGTGTGGGCAGAACTGAAAAAGCATGTGCGAGCAAGGAGGCCTACAAACCTGACTCAGCTACACCAGCTCTGTCAGGAGGAATGGGTCAAAATTCACCCAACTTATTGTGGGAAGCATGTGGAAGGCTACCCGAAATGTTTGACCCAAGTTAAACAATTTAAAGGCAATGCTACCAAATACTAATTGAGTGTATGTAAACTTCTGACCCACTGCGAATGTGATGAAAGAAATAAAAGCTGAAATAAACAATTCTCTCTACTATTAATCTGACATTTCACATTCTTAAGATAAAGTGGTGATCCTAACTGAACTAAGACAGGGAATGTTTACTAGGATTAAATGTCAGGAATTGTGAAAAACTGAGTTTAAATGTATTTGGCTAAGGTGTATATACATTTCCGACTTCAACTGTATTACAGGGAATGCTTGGAATTGGTCTGAATTCCTGAAAATAAATGAAGAGTAATTTGTCTTAGTCGGATTGTTTGTCTGAAATAGATTCGCTAAAACTGTTCACTGGTTTTTGAATAGGATCATGGTTGAACTGGTTTTGTATCTCTCTGTTGCCCTCTCTCTCTCTTTTTATCTGATTTTAATTTGGTCTCTTTCTCTCTGACCTGGTCTTGTTGTGGTCTTTCTCTCCGCAGTGCACAGTTTGAAGCCTCTGCTGACGGTTAGCTTCACCTCTGGAGACATCAGCCTGATGAACAACTATGATGACCTCTCTCCCACTCTCATCCGCACTGGCCTCAAAGGTATGTGTGTTTTGTATTTGTGTGTTTAGTCCTCTCACTCCTTTTGGGTGGGGGATAGTCTCTGTATTCCCACTGTCTCTCTTCTACTGTCTAGGCCTATTTCACACACAGGTCAGTGGTGTTCTTAAAGGGGCAATCAGCAGTTGCTTTTTTTAACTTAATGTTATGTATCCATTGATTCTTGAATAATTTAACTTCTAAGTGCCTCATGAGCTTAGCGTACCCCATCAGAACCCCAAATATAAGCTTGTTATTATTTCTACTGCTGATTGACGCTTTAAGGCTAGGCACCACAGATTTGTTGGTATTTTGGTACATTGATATTAGTCTTTAAAAAAAAGTTAACATATAAAAATATCAAAAACATTTTATATTTTCTTTAGTTTATCATACTAGCGTCATCATAATTTGAATGAATTTTAACCACTAAAATGGACATACATCAATCATTTCAAAGGTCACTACATTAACTTAAATATAATTTAAAAGCCCATTTCATAGAGAATGTTACAAACTGGACTATATTTATTAACTTCCTTTGAAGAGATGGTGATTGGGTCTAAATAGGCATTTGGCGTTTGGTAGTCTAAATTCAGTGTACTTGTCTTTAACGGCCATTTCCCGAAAGTCAGACTCTTCCCACACACCAACTCATTTTTCTCAGCTTCAGAAGCATAGCATCTGCATTCACCAAATGTTGTGTGGTTATCCTTAGATATATTATCCAGACTTGCCCAGAGGGAATTTTTTATATGTTGTAAAAAATGTATTCTAGATAACATTTTCTTTGGAAAAATTCACCAAAAATGTATTTTACGTACAAGGTATTTATCCACAATCTGCTCTAGACAAGTCAAGTCCTGGAGTGTTTTATCAAAATGAAACCAAAATATTTAGGTTGACTTCATCCAGTGTTCAGAAAAATTGATTTGAGCTATTTAATGAGCTATTGCCTCATTTGCATATTTGCATAAATTATTTCAGAACCATTTTAATACAAAAAGTATTATTTGTGTCTACTGTGCATTCAACTGGTAAGGGGTTTGTGTGCGCGTGTGTGTAAACTGTGTATGTATGCTCACCCTCTCTCTTCTTTCACTCTGTGTGTGGTAGATGTGGTGGTCCAGTGGTGTTCTCAGGGGGATCTCCTGGCCGTGGCTGGGATGGAGAGGGCTATCCTATCCCCCGACCCCTCCTGTCCACCTCTCACCAGAAACGCCATCGTCAAGTTCTACAACGTCTGCGGAGAACACGTCTACACACTGGACACGCCTGCACAAGTAATAACACACACACTTACACCAGCTCCTGCGGCAAACAACACATCTTTAGGACCACACACACAAACATTAGTAAACATGATATTGAGAATGCACATCATATGCTATAAGTTCCATAGAATAATCATCCCCCTCCGCTCCAGCGTCCCATCACCACACTGTGCTGGGGTCACCGGAACTCCCGTCTGTTCTTGGCGTGCGGCGCAGTGCTCTACGTGGTGCGGGTGGAGCATCGAGTGGCCAGCCTGCAGCTGCTGTGCCAGCAGTGCATCGCTGGGGCGCTCTGGGAGGAGAAGGACGTGGCCAAGCTCACAATTCCCTCACGTCTCTGTTCCTACGTCACCACTGCCTTCGCAACCACCATCAAGGTACAGGGGGTAGGAGAGTATACCAAACATTAGGAAGACCTTTCTAATATTGAGTTGCACAACCCCCCCCCTTTTGCCCTCAGAACAGCCTCAATTCGTTGGGACATGGACTCTACAAGGTGTCAAGCGTTCCACACGCGTTGGCAGGATGTCTTTTGGGTGGTGGACCATTCTTAATACACACGGGAGACTGTTGAGCGTGAAAAACCCAGCAGCGTTGCAGTTCTTGACACAAACCGGTGCGCCTGGCACTTCCATACCCAGTTCAAAGGCACTTCAATATTTTGCTTGCCCATTCACTCTCTGACTGGCACACATACACAATCCATGTCTCAATTGTCGCAAGGCTTAAAAATCCTTCTTTAACCTGTCTCCTCCCCTTTATCTACACTGATTTGAAGTGAATTTAACAAGTGATATCAATAAGGGACATCAGTAGCTTTCACCTGGATTCACCTGGTCAGTCTATATCATGGAAAGAGCAGGTGTTCTTAATGTTTTTTACTCTCCATGTATGTCTAGGAGGGTGAGGAAGGTTTCTGGTTTCAGGTCAAGTTTGTTCTCCACCTGGCAGGCTAAGATGAGGATGGGGCTCAGTCTCATCTGTTGTACAAGCGATAAAATTACTACTTGAGTTTAATCCATTTAAGATAACCATTACAGTGAGGGGAAAAAAGTATTTGCTCCCCTGCTAATTTTGTATGTTTGTCCACTGACAAAGAAATTATCAGTCTATAATTTTAATGGTAGGTTTACTTGAACAGTGAGAGACAGAATAAAAACAAAAAAATCCAGAAAAACGCATGTCAAAAATGTTATAAATTGATTTGCATTTTAATGAGGGAAATAAGTATTTGACCCCTCTGCAAAACATGACTTAGTACTTGGTGGCAAAACCCTTTTTGGCAATCACAGAGGTCAGACGTTTCTTATAGTTGGCCACCAGGTTTGCACACATCTCAGGAGGGATTTTGTCCCACTCCTCTTTGCAGAACTTGTTCAAGTCATTAAGGTTTCGAGGCTGACGTTTGGCAACTCGAACCTTCAGCTCCCTCCACAGATTTTCTATGGGATTAAGGTCTGGAGACTGGCTAGGCCACTCCAGGACCTTAATGTGCTTCTTCTTGAGCCACTCCTTTGTTGCCTTGGCCATGTGTTTTGGGTCATTGTCATGCTGGAATACCCATCCACTATAAAATCAGCAGGGGATCAAATACTTTTTTCCCTCACTGTATGTGCTAGAATGCTCATCATTCCGTTCACTCTCTACTCCCAGACCCCTATCCCAGACCCCAACAACATGCGTGATTTTGTGAGTTACCCGACGGCGGGGAACGAGCGTCTGCACTGCACCATGAAGCGTACGGAGGACAACCCTGAGGTGGGTGGGCCCTGCTACACCCTCTATCTGGAGTACCTGGGGGGCTTAGTGCCCATCCTCAAGGGCCGGCGAATCAGCAAGCTCCGCCCCGAGTTCGTCATCATGGACCCCAAGACGGACGGCAAAGCAGGTGAGGTTATAATGGAGAAACTGTGTGAGGATGTTTGAAAGTGTTAATGGTGCTTGTTTTGAAAATATAACATTGAAATCCTGCTGCCTTATAATTGTATAACGATGCCTTGTAATAGATTCCATTGCTTTGGGAGGCTGTTTCAGCTTCTCGTATGACTGCTTTTTGCTCGACTGTCCTTGGAAAGAAGCGTTTGTAAAGTCATTGTCTTCTTCTTGTTAATAACTGTTAGTTACCTATGACTAAAATATCATTTGTGGCTGCTGCCCAGCCAGAGCCTCCTTCCATGCTCCTCCAGTACTGTTCCATTCATATAACATATAGGACTTACTTGTGGTAAGTTAGTTCTAGACAGTGTTGGTTGGCATTGATAGTTCTCAGTTTTAATAGTCACAAAGCCAGCCAGCCACAGTACAGGGCAGACTGAGCCCATGTTAATTAAAAGATGCTTAATGGGAGCTGGGATGGCCTCTGGGCTCTACCATAAATTACCTCCCTCCCACTCTCCTCCTTCCTCTCCACACAGTGATAAATGAAACCAACCATAAAATGTGTGCAGCCCATTCACACTTAAATGCCCATTAAATAAATGTGCTTGACCTAGACTGGAGTAGTCGCAGTTCAGGGACCCCATGTGAATGAGAGTAGTTACTTGGAAACAATAGTTTGGGGGACTAAAGAAGTTGAACAGTTTGATTGTGTTAAGTGTGTCTGAAATTGGATATGATTTCATGTCATGTCATTTCATTCATTTTATGTCTTTGAAGAGGTGAGTGAAGTGTGTCCCCTGCTGTTAACACTGGGGATAAGACGTGCTTGTTGTGATGATGGGGAATAAAGGTTGTGAACTTCACGATGGCTAGGATGGATTACTATCACTGTTGGTCAATGTCAGTTTGACTTATATCCCCATATGCAGAGAGACAGTGCCTTGCAAAAGTATTCATCCCCCTAGGTGTTTTTCCTATTTTGTTGCATTACAACCTGTAATTTAAATGGATTTTATTTGGATTTCATGTAATGGACATACACAAAATAGTCCAAATTGGTGAAGTGAAATGAAAATAACTTGTTTCAAAGAATTCAAAAAAAATAAATAACGGAAAAGTGGTGCGTGCATATGTATTCACCCCCTTTGCTAAGAAGCCTCTAAATAAGATCTGGTGCAACCAATTACCTTCAGAAGTCACATAATTAGATTGCACACAAGTGGACTTTATTTAACTAAGTGTCACATGATCTCAGGATATATACACCTGTTCTGAAAGACCCCTGAGTCTGCAACACTACTAAGAAAGGGGCACCACCAAGCAAGCAGCACCATGAAGACCAAGGAGCTCTCCAAACAGGTCACGGACAAAGTTGTGGAGAAGTACAGATCAGGGTTGGGTTATAAAAAAATATCTGAAACTTTGAACATCCCACGGAACACCGTTAAATCCATTATTAAAAAATTGAAAGAATATGGCACCACAACAAACCTGCCAAGAGAGGGCCGCCCTCCAAAACTCATGGACCAGGCAAGGAGGGCATTAATCAGAGAGACAACAAAGAGACCAAAGATAACCCCGAAGGAGCTGCAAAGCTCCACAGTGGAGATTGGAGTATCTGTCCATAGGACCACTTTAAGCCATACACTCCACAGAGCTGGGCTTTACGGAAGAGTGGCCAAAAAAAAGCCATTGCTTAAAGAAAAAAATAAGCAAGCATGTGGGAGACTCCCCAAACATAAAGAAGAAGGTACTCTGGTCAGATTAGACTAAAATTAAGCTTTTTGGCCATCAAGGAAAACGCTATGTCTGGCGCAAACCCAACACCTCTCATCACCCCGAGAACACCATCCCCACAGTGAAGAATGATGGTGGCAGCATTATGCTGTGGGGATCTTTCTCATCAGCAGGGACTGGGAAACTGGTCAGAATTGAAGGAATGATGGATGGTGCTAAATACAGGGAAATTCTTGAGGGAAACCTGTTTCAGTCTTCCAGAGATTTGAGACTGGGACGGAGGTTCACCTTCCAGCAGGACAATAACCCTAAGCATACTGCTAAAGCAACACTCGAGTGGTTTAAGGGGAAACATATAAATGTCTTGGAATGGCCAATTGAGAATCTGTGGTATGACTTAAATTTAGCTGTACAACAGCGGAACCCATCCAACTTGAAGGAGCTGGAGCAGTTTTGCCTTGAAGAATGGGCAAAAATCCCAGTGGCTAGATGTGCCAAGCTTATCGAGACATACCCCAAGAGACTTGCAGCTGTAATTGCTGCAAAAGGTGGCTCTACAAAGTATTGACTTTGGGGGGGGGGGGTGAATAGTTATGCACACTCAGGTTTTCTGTTTTTTTTTTGTCTTATTTCTTGTTTGTTTCACAATAAAAAAAATATTTTGCATCTTCAAAGTGGTAGGCATGTTGTGTAAATCAAATGATACAAACCCCCCAAAAAATCAATTTTAATTCCAGGTTGTAAGGCAACAAAATAGGAAAAATACCAAGGCGGGGTGAGTACTTTTGCAAGCCACTGTAGGTCCCCATGAGTCAGTGACATTCAATGAATGACCAACCAGCAGGCATCATTCATGATGTTGTAGACAGACACCCATCATTTCCTCACCTCACCACTTTCGTTTTAATACACTTCACTCATCTTCCTTTCTCTCCATTCCTTGTTTCCCTCTCTTCTTCCAGATGAGGTGTATGGGAACAGTCTGATCTCGGCGATGATCGACAGCTGTAACTGTTCAGACTCCAGTGATATAGAGCTGAGTGATGACTGGGTCGGCAAGAAATCCCCAAAGCTATCCAGAGGCAGCAAGTCTCCTAAACTCCCCAGGTAATGAACACGGACATTATACAGCACTGTCATTCATTCATAAAACATTAATTCATATCATTAATGAATAACAAGCATGTGTTTTGATTAGTTGTTGTATTCACCATTTTATAGGACCATTCAGTTATGTGTAGCTCAAAATTAAACCCAAGTGTTTTGTTTGGACCTACAAAGTACTAGAGATTAATATTTTCCTGAAAATCTACCAAATTTCAGTACTGGGCATAATTCATATTCATCCTGAGAGTCCCGGGAAATACAGCAGTGCCCATTTTTTAAAGTGTTTAAAACCAAGATATGGTCATAATGCCAGGGTTTTTCCCCAAATTAGAGGGGTGCTGCGCCACCTTGTCAGCTTGGCTGCGCCACTTTGTAAAGATTTCAGAGCAAATGAAACTGATAATTAGTAATGATAGAGTAACAGGTCCTCAACTGGCAGCTTCATTAAATAGTACCTGCAAAGAAAAAGCCATATCTCAGACTGCCCATCTTAATATTTTATTTTTATTGGCCAGTCTGAGATATGGCTTTTTCTTTGCAACTCTGCCTAGAAGGTCAGCATCCCAGAGTCGCCTCTTCATTGTTGACGTTGAGACTGGTGTTTTGCGGGTACTATTTAATGAAGCTGCCAGTTGAGGACCTGTGAGAGGCATCTGTTTCTCAAACTAGACACTAATGTATTTGTCCTCTTGCTCAGTTGTGCACCGGGGCCTCCCACTCCTCTTTCTATTCTGGTTAGAGCCAGTTTGCGCTGTTCTGTGAAGGGAGTAGTACACAGCGTTGTACGAGATCTTCAGTTTCTTGGCAATTTCTCGCATGGAATAGTTTCAGAAGAAAGTAATTTTTTTCTGGCCATTTTGAGCCTGTAATCGAACCCACAATTGCTAATGCTCCAGATACTCAACTAGTCTCAAGAAGGCCAGTTTTATTGCTTCTTTAATCAGCACAACAGTTTTCAGCTGTGCTAACATAATTGCAAAAGGGTTTTCTAATGATCAATTAGCCTTTTAAAATGATAAACTTGGATTAGCAAACACAACGTGCCATTGGAACACAGGACTGATGGTTGCTGATAATGGGCCTCTGTACGCCTGTGTAGATATTCCATTAAAAATCAGCAATTTCCAGCTACAATAGCCATTTCCAACATTAACAATGTCTACACTGTATTTCTGATCAATTTGATGTTATTATAATGGACAAAAAAATTGCTTTTCTTTCGAAAACAAGGAAGTTTCTAAGTGACCCCAAACTTTTGAACGGTAGTGTATGGACGAGCGATGTCAGAGTGGCATGGACTAAGATACAGGATATACATATGAGATGAGTAATGCAAGATATGTAAACATTATTAAAATGGCTAGTGTTCCATTTCTTAAAATGGCCAGTGATTTCTAGTCTGTCGATAGGCAGCAGCCTCTAATGTACTAGTGATGGCTATTTAACAGTCTGATGGCCTTGAGATAGAAGCTGTTTTTCAGTCTCTCGGTCCCAGCTTTGATGTACCTGTACTGACCTCGCCTTCTGGATGATAGCGGGGTGAACAGGCAGTGGCTTGAGTGTTTATTTTTATTTTTTTATTTAACCTTTATTTAACCAGGTAAGCCAGTTGAGAACAAGTTCTCATTTACAACTGCAACCTGGCCAAGATAAAGCAAAGCAGTGCGATTAAAAACAACAACACAGAGTTACATATGGGGTAAACAAAACATAAAGTCAAAAATACAACAGAAAATATATATACAGTGTGTGCGAATGTAGTAAGTTATGGAGGTAAGGCAATAAATAGGCCATAGTGAAAAATAGTTACAATTTCGTATAATACTGGAATGATATATGTGCAAAAGATGATGTGCAAATAGAGATACTGGGGTGCAAATTAGCAAAATAAATAACAATATGGGGATGAGGTAGTTGGGTGGGCTAATTTCAGAAAGGCTGTGTACAGGTGCAGTGATCGGTAAGCTGCTCTGACAACTGACGCTTAAAGTTAGTGAGGGAGATAAGAGTCTCCAGCCTCAGAGATTGATGTCCTTGATTATCTTTTTGGCCATCCTGTGACATCAGGTGCTGTATATGTCCTGGGGGGCGGATAGTTTGCCCCGGGTAATACGTTGTGCAGACCGCACTACCCTTGCCATACCAGGCGGTGATACAGCCTGACAGGATGCTCTCAATTGTACATCTGTAAAAGTCTGTGAGGGTTTTAGGTGCCAAGCCAAATTTCTTAAGCCTCCTGAGGTTGAGGCTCTGTTGCGCCTTCTTCACCACACAATCTGTGGGTGTTCCATTTCAGTTTGTCAGTGATGTTTTCACTAAGGAACTTTAAGCTTTCCACCTTCTCCACTGTGTTCCTGTCGATATGGATGGGGGGTGCACCCTCTGCTGTTTCCTGAAGTCCACAATCATCTCCTTTGTTTTGTTGACGTTGATTGAGAGTTTATTTCCCTGGCACCACAATCCCAGAGCCTTCACCTCCTCCCTGTAGGCTGTCTCGTTATTGTTGGTTAATCAAGCCTACTACTGTTGTGTCGTCTGCAAACTTGATGATTGAGTTGGAGGCGTGCTTGACCACACAGTCATGGGTGAGCAGGGAGTACAGGAGTGGGCTGAGCATGCACCCTTGTGGGGCCCCAGTGTTGAGGATCAGCAAAGTGGAAGTGTTGTTTCCTACCTTAACCACCTGGGGGCGGCCCGTCAGGATGTCCAGGGCCCAGTTGTACAGGGCGGGGTTCAGACCCAGGGCCTCGAGCTTAATGATGAGCTTGGAGGGTACTATGGTGTTGAATGCTGAACTATAGTCAATGAACAGCATTCTTACATAGGTATTCCTCTTGTCCAGTTGGGATAGGGCAGTGTGCAGAGTGATGGCGATTGCATCGTCTGTGGATCTATTGGGGCGGTAAGGAATTTGAAGTGGGTCTAGGGTGGCAGGTAAGGTAGAGGTGATATGATCCTTGACTAGTCTCTCAAACCACTTCATGATGACAGAGGTGAGTGCGACGGGGCGATAGTTGTTTAGTTACCTTTGCTTTCTTGGGTACAGGACACTAAGTACGAGACAGCACAGAGAAGCGGGGGAAATGTTATAGCTGCATTTTGATATACATAGGCGAGAGCCGTGTTTTGATAAGGATGGATTACAGAATAAAGTTAGGAATTTTCATGCAAGACAGGAGTCAAGATTTTGGGTTTCAGTGGGATTTGGACTGGATAAGGAAAATATCCTAGGTTCTAGGACAGGAGAATATATAATTTCCCCTCTGAATTGTTAAGACTTTCATGTCTATAGCCCTATTCACACTGGGACTAGTATTACTAGAGAACGTTATGTAAGTATTACAATAGAATGTCTGTTATTCCAGAGGATGATTCAGATGGGATTAGTTTTTTCCAAACTGGCCCCTGTAATTCTTAATTATTTTCAATAAATTGACAGTAATGACGAAAGCCTGGAGGTTTTTTTTCTAGGCGTGAAGATATTTCAGCAAGTCCAACGATAACAGGGCTAAACTGATAACGCGAGCTTGGTTCCCAAGTTTCGAAACCATACAAAACCATATTTGGTATATTGTCGCCATAATATTTGAATTGCGGAAGTGTGATCATTAGGATATTTTAGCGCTCCACAGTAGACGTCCTAAATGCCCCCCAGCCTTCAGATGTGAGCTAAACAGTGCACTTGCACTTGAGATGCGTTTTAAGTCTATGGATGAGAAAGTGAACTTACAATTTCCAAAAGTTTAGGTCAGCTGTATGCTGCTTTGTCATCTATTAACAGCAAGGGTTACATTAAATAGGCACAATACTTTTTACTGATGCATTTGGCAATATTCAATTCATACGCACAAAACATATACAGTGCATTCGGAAAGTATTCAGACCCCTTTACTTTTTCCACATTTTGTTACATTACAGCCTTCTAAAATGGATTAATTAAATAGTTTTCCTACTCAATCTATACACAATACCCCATAATCACAAAGTGATTGAAAAAACAAACCTGAAATACCTTATTTACGTAAGTATTCAGACCCTTTGCTATGACACTCGAAATTTAGCTCAGCTACATCCTGTTTCCATTGATCATCCTTGAGATGTTTCTACAACTTGCACAGCTATTTTCAGGTCTCTCAAGACATGTTCGATCGGGTTCAAATCCGGGCTCTGGTTGGGCCTATCAAGGACATTGAGACTTGTCCCGAAGCCACTCCTGCGTTATCTTGGCTGTGTGATTAGGGTTGTTGTCCTGTCTGAGGTCCTGAGCGCTCTGGAGGAGGTTGTCATCAAAGATCTCTCTGTACATTGCTCCGTTCATATTTCCCTCGATCCTGACAAGTCTCCCAGTCCCTGCCGCTGAAAAACATCCCCAAAGCATGATGCTGCCACCACCATGCTTCACCGTAGGGATGGTGCCAGGTTTCCTCCAGACGTGACGCTTGGCATTCAGGCCAAAGAGTTCAATCTTGGTTTTATCAGACCTGAGAATCTTGTTTTACCATAAAGGCCTGATTGGTGGAGTGCTGCAGAAATGGTTGTCCTTCTGGAAGGTTCTCCCATCTCCACAGAGGAACTCTGGAGTTTCATAGCAAAGGGTCTGAATACTTACGTAAATAAGGTAATTCTGTTTTTTATTTGTAATACATTTGCAAACATTTCTAAAAACCTATTTTCGATTTGTCATTATGGGGTATTATGTGTAGATTGATTAGGGAAAAATCATAATTGAATCCATTGTAGAATAAGGCTGTAACGTAACAAAATGTGGAAAAAGTCAAGGGGTCTGAATACTTTCCGAATGCGCTGTAGCTTATGCGCAGCACTTCGTTTAATTCAACAAATCAGTTATTGTTTTCTAGCTCAAATCGTGAGCAACACCTGTCAAATTCAGACATTTCTCTCAAAACACAGGGATGTCGATTCACACCGGACTAGTATTATCAGAGGACCTTGGAGTTTGCCAAAAAACAATAGGTTATTCTGGCTGAAATTGTTACTCTCCTGCCGTGTAAAAATTACTGACATGGCATATTCAGACTGGACTAAAATTACAGATATGTGGTGTTTTGTGCTCGTGCACATAATTACATTACCCGGCCACCCCCAGTAAAACTAATCCTGTCTGAATAGGGCTTATGACAGAGATGCCTATGTAGTGAATTGTGCATAGGCCTATCAAATGTGTGACTGTCTGAAGAGTCACATTGACAGCTCAAGGAGGCACATGTTATTTTATAGGCTATACTGTAGGGGTTTCCTGTAGGGTTTATTAACTCGGGTCGCGTGTGCAGTATCAATTATGTGTCTACTTTGAATTAATGGCGACTTTGTGTGAAGTAAATACGCGACAACCTGTTTGGATAAAGTGCTATTTTATTTTTTGCTAATCTGTGGCTGTAAATGTGGAATTGTATTAGTGCGACATTGTGGATTGAAAAAAAATATTTCAATTTTAATTATTTCGGTAAATGTGAAGTTCCCGGGATCCCGGTTACCCATGTTAATCCATACAGAGTACTGACTAAAGGTGTCCGCATGCTTCAGTTATGCTGGCGTCTAGCTGAAGTCGGCTAGGCGAACTGAAAGTATGTGCTCGCATACTCCCTTAAAAGACCTTTGCTTGAAAAACTAGAAAAAAAGCCAATAGTACTGTTTGTCCATTTTGAGACGCTGTAGCCAGAATTTAATCTATACTGAACAAAAATATAAACGCAACATGCAACAATTTCACTGCGCTACAGTTCATATAAGGAAATCAGTCAATTGAAATAAATTCATTAGGCCCTAATCAATGGATTTCACATGACTGGACAGCGGCGCAGCCATGGGTGGGCCCACTGGGGAGCCAGGCCCAGCCAATCGCAATCAGTTTTTCCCCACAAAAGGGGATTTATTACAGACAGAAATACTAATCAATTTCATCAGCTGTCCTGGTGGCTGGTCTCAGACGATCCCACAGGTGAGGAAGCCAGATGTGGAGGTCCTGGGCTGGCGTGGTTACACGTGGTCTGCGGTAGTGAGGTCAGTTGGACATACTGCCAAATTCTCAAAAACAATGTTGGAGGCGGCTTATGGTAGAGAAATGAACATTCAATTCTCTGGCAACAGCTCTGGTGGACATTCCTGCAGTCAGCATGTCAAGTGCACGCTCCCTCAAAACTTGAGACATCTGTGGCGTTGTGTTTTGACAAAACTGCACATTTTAGTGGCCTTTTATTGTCATCAGCACAAGGTGCACCTGTGTAATGATAATTCTGTTTAATCAGCTTTTTGGATTATCTTGGCAAAGGAGAAATGCTCACTAACTGGGATGTAAACAAATTTGTGGACAAAACTTGAGAGAAATAAGCTTTTTGTGCATATGGACAATTTCTGGGATCTTTTATTTGAGCTCATGAAACATAACACCAACACTATACATGTTGCGTTTATATTTTTGTTCAGTATAATTAACCTAAAATAACTCAAGAAATCTGTCATTCATTTTGACGTTTTTGCCAAGGAGATCTTAGTCACGCAATTTTACATCTAACTAACTATGTTTGGTGCAGTATTTTTCAATGAAAAAATTTGCATGAAAACGAATCGTCTCTTGCTGAATGACAACAGACTTTACTGAAGAATACCTACTGTTGACCAATCACCGACAAAGGGACATAGACTCCGGTTACAGACTTCGGCTTGCCTCAAGAAAAAACAATTGTCTTCCCGAACAACCAAAAAAAAACTTACCGATGTCCAAAACGAACAAAAACATCACAAAATGTCGTCATAATTGTGTGTATTTGTATTTTTTATATTTTTTTATTTAGCCTTTATTTATACAGGTTTTTCTCATTGAGATCAAATCTATTTTTCAAGAGAGACCTGGTCCAACAGCAGCAGGGGGAACAAAGTTTCAGTCAAAACTACTTACATACACTAACACAACATTGAACAAAACTATAGACACACATACAGTACAACAATTACATATTACGTAAAGAAACACGAATGTCATAACTAAAAAACAGCTGTCCTAAAGAAAATTACACTCTTCTATGATATTTACATCGATCAAGTTTTTAAACTCCACCAACGTGACTAGATCATCACATTTTAAAATGTTCAGAAGAGAATTCCAGGTCCACGGAGCTGAGTAACTAAAACTAGTTCTACCATGCCCTGTTCTAATTCTTGGTTCTGTTAAAAGCAAATGAGAATGGGACCGTAATTTATATTTATTTACTGACCTGATTTTAAAAAGATCAGAGAAAGTGGCATTTTACCCAGTATGGCCTTATAAATCAGTGTATACCAGTGTTTAAGCATACGCAAGGTCAATGACGACCAGCCAACAGTGCTGTAGAGATCACAATGATGTGTTAGAGGTTTTTGATTGGTACTGAATCAGAGGGCTGCATGCTATACTGAATCAAGTGCTCTCATGGTAGTGGTTGAGGCCTGCATATACAGTCAGTTCCATAAATATTTGGACATTGACCAAGTTAATATTATTTTAGCTGTCTACCACAGCCTATTGGAGTTGAAATTAAATAATGAATATGAGCTGAAAGTGCAGACTTTCAGCTTTAATTTGAGGGTATTTACATCCAAATTGGGTTAACGTTGTAGGAATTACAGCACTTTTTAGATGTGGTCCCCCCCCTTTTTAAGGGACCAAAAGTAATTGGACAATTGGCTGCTCAGCTGTTCCATGACCAGGTGTGTGTTATTCTCTCATTAGTTAATTTACGAGTAAGCAGATAAAAGGTCTAGAGTTGATTTCAAGTGTGGCATTTTCATTTGGAATCTGTGGCTGTTAACACTCAATATGAAGTCCAAAGAGCTGTCACTGCCAGTGAAGCAAGCCATCATTAGGTTGAAAAATCTAAACAAACCCATCAGAGATAGCAAAAACATTAGGAGTGGCCAAATCAACTATTTGGTACATTCTTAAAAAGAAAGAACGCACTGGTGAGCTCAGGAACACCAAAAGGCCCAGAAGACCACGGAAAACAACTGTGGTGGATGACACAATAATTATTTCCCTGGTGAAGAAAAACCCCTTCACAACAGTTGGCCAGATCAAGAACACCCTCCAGGAGGTAGGTGTATCTGTGTCAAAGTCAACAATCAAGAGAAGACTTCACCAGAGTAAATACAGAGGGTTTACCACAAGATGTAAACCATTGGTAAGCCTCAAAAACAGGAAGACCAGATTAGAGTTCGCCAAAAAAAAGCCTGTACAGTTCTGGAACAACATCCTATGGACAGATGAGACAAAGATCAACTTGTACCAGAATGATGGGAAGAGAAGAGTATGCAGAAGGGAAGGAACTGCTCATGATCCGAAGCATACCACCTCATCTGTGAAGCATTGTGGAGGTAGTGTTATGGTGTGGGCATGTATAGCTGCCAATGGAACTGGTTCCATAGTATTTATTGATGATGTGACTGCTGACAAAAGCAGCAGGATGAATTCTGAAGTGTTTAAGGCTATAGTATCTGCTTCAAAACTCATTGGACGGCGCTTCACAGTGCAGATGGACAATGACCCGAAGCATACTGCGAAAGCAACCCAATACGTTTTTTAAGGCAAAGAAGTGGAATGTTTTGCAATGGCCAAGTCAATCACCTGACCTGAATCCCAATTGAGCATGCATTTCACTTGCTGAAAGCAAAACGCCCCAAGATCAAGCAGGAACTGAAGACAGCTGCAGTAAAGGCCTGGCAGAGCATCACCAGGGAAGAAACCCAGCATCTGGTGATGTCTATGGGTTCCAGACTTCAGGCAGTTATTGACTACAAAGGATTTGCAACCAAGTATTAAAACTCACAGTTTAATTTATGATTATGTTAGTTTGTCCGATTTACTTTTGAGCCCCTAAAATTGGGGGGCTATGTATAAAAATAGTTGTAATTCCTATACGGTTCATACAATAATTTTGACAAAACCCTTAAATTAAAGATGAAAGTCTACACTTAAAGCACATCTTGATTGTTTCCTTTCAAATCCATAGTGGTGGTGTACAGAGCCAAAATACTTATGGGCCTGACTGTATATAACATCACTACATTCTAAAACCGGCAGTAATGTACATCGTACCAGCTCCTTCCTGGCCTCCAGAGAAAAACAAGCCTTATGCCGGTAATAAAAACCTATTCTCAGCTTGCGCTTCCTTATCAAGTTCTCCACATGAACAGTGAAGCTCAGCTTGTCATCCACCGACACTCCCAAATATTTGTACACTTTGACTTGCTCTATAGTATGTCGATCCAATGTAGCAATGACATGATTAGTAACATGCCTGGCATTTGAAAATACCATGCATTTTGTTTTACCCGAATTCAGAACCAGCTTCAAATCATACATATCATACATAATATATGCACGAACTCTTCCGAACTGTTTCGGCTGGGAAGCATGCATTTTTGCCACAGCATTTTTGTATATTAATGCTGCTTGAGTGTAATGCACGGTATTGTTTCATTTGTTTCACTGCATGTCTATACCTTTTCTTTCATGTGCTACCTCCTCTGTTGATACTTAGTCTGTCCCTTTACCAACAGGATCAATATTGACCCTAGGAAGTCCCCCAAACTGTCCCACGCTATGCAGGACATCTCCTGGTCGCCACGGTTACCCATCCGGAAACCCTCCATTGGCTCCCCAAGTCTCACCTGCAGAGAGTTTCCCTTCGATGACGTCGCACAGGTAATGGCCTGTGTTATGCTTTCCTGGATCTCCTATCATCATACATTTACAGTGATTTGAAGAAGTACTGATTTATTTGTGGGTTTTGTCTTTTGCAGCATAACTACCTTGCTCAGGTCACATCCAATATTTGGGGAACAAAGTTTAAGATTGTGGGACTTGCCACCTTCTTGCCAACCAATCTTGGAGCAGGTAACTACCAATCAAAAAATGCATTTTTAACTATGGTTCCAATATACAGTACCAGTCAAAGGTTTGGACACACAATCTCAAATATACAATATAATTTGATTTGTTTAATACTTTTTTGGTTACTACATGATTCCATATGTGTTATTTCATAGTTTTGATGTCTTCACTATTATTCTACAATGTAAAAAATAAAGAAAAACCCTCAAATTAGTAGGTGTGCCCAAACTTTTGACTGGTAGTGTATGTAATAACCTTACTCCTCCCCTTTTTCTTTTTTCTCCTATTTCCTGCCTCCCTTCTATCGCTATCTCTCTATTTGTCTTTATTTTTACCCACACTTACCTCTTATCTCTCCTCACTATCTCCCTCTCAGTGATCTACAAGACGAGTCTGCTCCACCTGCAGCCCAGACAGATGACCATCTACCTGCCGGACGTGCGTAAGATCTCCATGGACTACATCAACCTGCCCATGTTCAGCCCCAACGTATTCAGTGAGGACGAGGATGACCTACCCGTCACAGGGGCCTCCGGCGTCACAGACGACAACCCTCCCTGCACCGTCAACATCCCCATCGCTCCCATCCACAGCCCTGCCCAGGCCATGTCCCCCACCCAGAGCATCGGCCTGGTCCAGTCCCTCCTAGCCAATCAGAACGTCCATCTGGACGTCCTGTCCAATCCCACTGCCATCTCCACCACAGCTGCTGCAGGGACCGGGGGGTCATCTGACCAGGGCCAGGACACCACCCTGACCGCCCAGTACACGGTGCCCAGCAGGTACTCCAGTCCTGGACAGGTAATCTTTAGAGGGCTGGAGATGAGCCGGCTTCTGGTTGGGCCTCCTCCCTCTCATCACCAACAACAGAGCCATCAACAACAACATCATCAGCAACAACAAATTCAGCATCAACAACAGCTACAACAACAGCAACAACAACTAGCGCAACAACATCACCAACAGCAACTGGCACAGCAACATCAACAGCATCTCCAGCAGCAGCAGATGCTGCAACACCAACAGATGCAGCAGCAGCAGATCCATCAGCAGCAGCAACACATCCAACAGCAGATCCAGAACATGCAGCAACAGCAGCAGCAGATCCAGCAACAACACCAACAACAACTCCAGCTACAGCAACAGTTACAACAGCAGCAACTCGCACAGCAGCTGCAGAAACAGCATCAACAGATACCGCAGCATATGCAACAGCAACAACAAATTCAACAGCAACATCATCAACATCATCAAATGCAACAACAGCAGCAGATACCACAACAACAAAAGCACCATCAGATGCAGCTCCAGATCCCCGTCCCCTCTCAGGTGTCAGGTGCAACGGTGCACCAGCTCCAACAGGGGGCGCTACAGATTCAGATCCCCCACCCTGCAGTGGCTGAGAGAAAGGTCAGCGTGGAATATGAGCAACTGCTGAAAATAAAGCCCACTCGCTCTGCCCCCCAGCTGGTTGAGGGGGACACAGTGGTGTTCAGTACCCCTCTGGAGCTCAGCAAGATGAACCCCCCGCCCCCCTACCCCGGGACGGTGGACGCTCCTGTGGCTGCAGCCGCTACCGCAGCAGCCTCAGCATCTGCTGCAGCAGCCAACGGCTCCTCTGGACAGGCTGTGGGCAGTAACGGCTCACTGCCACCAGTGGATCTGTGCCTGAAGAAGGGCGAGTTATCCCTTTATCCTCCTAGCCAGCAGGCGACACATTACCCAACCCCATTAGGCTATGAGCGGATAACGACGTTCGACAGTAGCGGTAACGTGGAAGAGGTCTGCCGGCCTCGAATGCGGCTCGTGTGCAACCAGAACGTCTACTCGCTCCATGGCCCGGGGAGCTCAGCCACCCTCAGGGTCACCTCCTCTTCCTCCTCATCAGATGGGAAAAAGATCCAGCTGCCCTACGCCTCGGCCACCCTCAACCGGCTCACTGTGCCCCGCTACTCTATACCCAGCAGAGACCCGCCCCCCTACCCTGACACAGCCAATCAGAACACCACAGGGGGGAGGAGCCCCGGACAGAGGCTGGACAGCAGTCTGATCCCTTTCACGCTCAGACAGAACAGTGAAGAGGCCGCTCTCAAAGTCTCTCAGATGCTGGACCCTCAGAGGACACTTCCTCCTAAAGCCAAATCCCAAAACGGTGCACTGGCGGCCTCCCCCCAGCAGAGGGTGCCCACCGCGCTGTACACCTGCAGTCAGTGCAGTAGTAACAGCAGTGGGCTTAGCAGTGCTGCCAGCAGTGCTCCCAGTGGGAGTGCGAATGGAATTGCAGGGGGTACAATCATTAGACAGGATTTCCCTCCAGGGAATGGAGCTCCTCACAGCACGGTGATTGTCCACTCCAACAGTGCCTCTCCCCAGGCCTCTCAGTCATCCTACAACCTGCTGAGCTTGGATGGCTCTGGTAATGGAAGAGGAGGTGGGAACAGAGACCGGGCTGACTATGTGAACTCAGCCTTCACAGAGGATGAAGTACTGAGTCACTCATTGAGGCATTTGGCGCTAGGGGGTGCTGATGTGTCTGGACTGACGGTCAAGAGGCCTCCGCCGTACCAGTGGGACCCAGCCGCAACTGAGGAGGTGTGGGTGCCTCAGGAACGGACCAGTACTCTGACGTCTGCTGCCCCCCCCGGACCCCACAAACCTCCCCCGCTCATCCTCAGCCCGGCCCAGCACCTCGACATCTCCCGGCTGCCTTTCGTCCTCTCCCCTAAGTCCCCCACCAGCCCCAGTGCTGCCTCTTTCCAGGCTGCCGCTGATGCCGCAGGTTACCAGATCACCCTCCAGTACACTCCTGGCACAGCCTACAGTGGGTCCCAGCTGCAGCCCATGCCAGGCTCTCCCCGGCCCTGCTCCCCTAAGGAGGTGGTGGTCCCGGTCCCGTTCTCCCAGCAGGATGCCACCCTGGTCTCACCACCTGGCTATCCTGCCAACCTGGCTAATCTGGCATGCTGCCCCCTCCCTCCCAAATACCCAGGGGGTGGCTCCTGTGCCGAGCACCCCATCACCCTACACACCCCTTGGGGCACTTACAACCCCTGCCCCCCCTTGCCCAGCCCCTCGGGGACGCTGCCCCCCAAACTCTCGCAGATGATGGTGGACAAGTCAGTCCTCTCTACCCCTCCTCCCCCACCGGCTCCCCCACCCACAGCAGAGCTGCAGCTGCAGGGTCACGGTGGCTCCCCAGAAGCCATGACCATGGAGGCTGGAGAGGGCTTCCAGGAGGTCCTCTCCCTTGACGACAGCCCCTTGCCCAGCCGTGCTGACAAGTTAGGCAAGAAGAACCGCAAGCGGGCCGACGTCAGGGCTGAGGAGGCCAACGTACCGGCCATTGCCGAGGGAGGCAAGTCCAAGAAGGAGGGCCGGGCCCTGGCCGACTTCAACTCTCTGATCTCCAGCCCGCGGCTGGGCGGCAGTGACAAAAAGAAGCCCAAGGGCCAAAAGGAGCAGCAGCTGAATGCCAAGAAGCTGAGCAAAGCTCCCAACAACACTAACAGTGAGTTCCAGGACAGCTCGGAGAGCGAGCCTGAGCTTTTCATCAGTGGGGACGAGCTGCTCAACCAGTGCCGGAGTGGCAAGAAGGGCTGGAAGAGCAAGAGAAGCCTGCGGGCGGCCGGTGAGCTGGAGGAGATCAAGTACCGCAAGGCCAACGAGAAGGAGGACCGCGGGCTCGGCAGCCAAGGCTTTGTCTATGTCATGACAAACAAGCAGCCACTGTGGAATGAGGCCACTCAGGTCTACCAGCTGGACTTTGGGGGACGCGTCACACAGGAGTCGGCCAAGAACTTCCAGATCGAATTGGAGGGGAGACCGGTGAGGTGGCTTCAGATAGATGGGGTGGTATAGATAGTTTTCTCCTGTACGATAGGAATGTTATTTATTATACAACTGTTGGGTCTAATCCTGAATCCTATTAGTTAAAAGCGCATTCCAGCCGGTATCTATTCCACAAGTTACCACCGGCTAAATCTATGATGTTAAAATGCCTATTTACTCTGTTCCATCTGACTGCGCAATCCACTGTCTATATCAGCCCAGCCAAGCAATTGATAAACTTGATCTCCACTATAAAAAGCATCTAGACATTATCTTGCATTTCTTTTAGACTAACATTTAGTTTTTAACAGCAGATTTGTATAAACCTTGCTGTCTGTAGTACAGTAATAGTAATGAACGTGTCGGGAATCGGGACGAGACAGACAGACAGGCAGGCAGTGTTTCTCAACCAGTCGAAATCATGAATGAAGTCATGAAAAAGCTGGCATAATTTTTATGGATATATACAAAGAAATGTACATTGAAAGAATGTAAAACAAAACGAAGTGCAGCTAGTTTGCAGTCTTTCCAGCTTCAGTTTGAAGTGATTGTGCTAGCTGTGTTGTTGACTAGCTCCTCTGAACAACAGTGTCCTGACGAGAGAGCACATTTTCTATGCCAGGCGAAATCGCGCCTCATTAGCTCATTGTTATGGATGTATCCAAATAAATGCAAATGCAGCTACTTTGCTGTTATTCTGGCTTTTTGACGTGACTGTAAGTTAGCCGTAGTTGGCTAGCTAGCAAGCAAGGGATAAGAACATTGCCAGCCAGTATAAAAATGGAAAATCCAGAACGAACGACTGGGTCGCGTCCATAGATACAAAACAAGAAAACTGAACGACTGGGTCGCGTCTCTAGCAACCGAATAGATAGAACGAACGACCAGCCGGCTTGGGCAGCAACCCTAGATTTTTGTCGGGACTATATCTTGTGGAAGGATGAAATAGTATGAATAAATTCATCAAAATAACATTTTTTATCATTATTTGAATATGTTGGTAAACCGTTGAATAAAAGTGATAATGCCCTTGAAACCGGTGTTTGGAGGATATATTGGCACGGGCCTAACACCCGTGCCAATATATCCTCCAAACACCGGCTTCAAGGGCATTATCACTTAAATAAGGGTTAGTTTGCATAGCAAGGGCTGATGGGGAAGTGTAGGAAAGTAGGAGAGTGTATCTATTTGTAAGAATATGACATGGAACAAATATAAATATAATTCAGCATTCAATAGGGAAACAGCTCAGACAGCCATAGAGTCAGGGCAATCAGAAAGTGACTGTGTGTTTATTTGTGTTTGTGGCCAGGTGATGCAGTTTGGCAGGATCGACGGCAACGCCTACATCCTGGACTTCCAGTACCCGTTCTCTGCTGTTCAAGCCTTCGCAGTGGCTCTGGCCAATGTCACTCAACGCCTCAAATGAGAGGTCCCGCCCTCCTCTTACCCTGAATCCTAGTATGGATTGGAACATCTGCTGGAAGGACACAGTTATTTAATTTGAAGTTACTTTAATATTAGAGAAGAGACTGAAATCAACTCTGCATATTGCATTGTTGCGTTACACTGTCGCTGCACTGCCCAATGTGGCCACCAGAGAGTACAATAAGCATGGGCTACAGGCGTCGGAGCAGAGCCATAGTCTGCCTTGGCACAGTCAGCCATCCCTTGTACTATTTACAGGGACCAAGAGCTCAGCTTTCTGTAATCATAATGCAAACAACTGCTGCTTTAGCTAATGGAAACTAGCTAGTGGAAACAGACTTTTGACTGACAGCCTTATAACGGTTTGGGTTTCCTGTCAGCATGGGTACGAGAGATGAGTTCTCTCTGTGTGGTTTTAAAAAAGAGCAGCAGTAATACTTGAAAAAAGCTATCTGGGAGATTGAAGATGTCGTTTTTTTTCTTTCCAGAGCACACAGATACTAGTGGGCATTGAAATCCATTGCTGTATGAAACTTAAGTGAAACTGTTATCATCACTTTGTAACACTGCTTTTGCTTTTAGTTTTTTTTTACACCTAAAGATGAAACTTGCTGAGGGAAAACCTAGGCTTTTGAAATGTAATTTTTTTGTTATCTGCCTTTTGTTTTGTTACACTCCACATCTACATAGGCTGGATTTGAGGTTTCAATATATGCATTGTGTTGTTGGAGCACTAGCACACACGAATGTGCAAGTTGTTTGATTTCCCTGTTGTCGTGAACTCGGGAGGGAAAACATTTATGTAAGCTGGACGGCAGTCCCTTTTTCTACTTTTCCTTGGAATTTGAAGGAAAAAAATATGTTGTTACTCAAATTGTTTAATTTATCTGTTTTTCCCCTTGTTACAAATAGGTCCTACATTATTCAGATATGAATTTTAACATTATGATTGTTGTTCGTATTCATGTTCTTACCATACAATCTTAGTACCTTGTTTACATGCATTTCAAGATGTCTACTTTATTTGGGAGAGACAGAGACTGAATTGAAATACTGTTATGTACAGTACAAAATCAGTGTTAAAACTGTTTTACGGAGTAGTTGTGACCGTTATCCTGTATCTCCCATGTCATGGTGACATGTTGCGAGGGGCACATAGAAAGGTCCTAGAGGTCAGAGTTTAGTAATCTGACCTCTGACCTTTGTTTCCCTGAAATGAAGTGATTTGTTTCCTGCTGTCACTTCTGTGAAGTGAGAGTCAGCATGTAGGTGTGTCCAACTCTTAAGCCCACACTAAACGTATATTTCAACTATGCCATTTCATAATTTTTTTAAGTAATGTAAATATCTGCCACATCATTCATACATATTGTAAACGATCTGGTGGTGTTGGACAAACAGCTGTTTTCATCGTAGCCCACTGTGTAGGTTCAAAATGATGGAGGATAGCTCTTTGTAAAAAAACGGATGAAATAAAATAAAAAAGGAACAGAAGATATAACGGATACGAAAATAACAATCAGTGCCTTCAGAAAGTATTCAGTATTTCCACATTTTGTTGTGTTATAGCCTGAATTTAAAATTCATTAAATTGAGATGTTTTGTCACTGGTCTACACACAATACCCCATAATGTCAAAGTGGTCCTCTGTAGCTCAGCTGGTAGAGCACGGCGCTTTTAACGCCAAGGTAGTGGGTTCGATCCCCGGGACCACCCATACACAAAAATGGATGCACGCATGACTATAAGTCGCTTTGGATAAAAGCGTCTGCTAAATGGCATATTATTATTATAAAGTGGAATTATGTTTTTCGAAATGTTTACAAATTCATTCAAAATTAAAAGCTGAAATGTCTTGAGTCAATAAGTATTCAACCCCTTTGTTATGACAAGCCTAAATAAGTTCAGGAGTAAAAATGTGCTTAACTAGTCACATAATAAGTTGCATGGACTCACTCTGTGTGCATAAATAGTGTTTAACATGATTTTTGAATGACTACCTCATCTCTGTACCCCACACATACAATTATCTGTAAGGTCCCTCAGTCGAGCTGTGAATTTCAAACACAGATTCAACCACGAAGACCAGGGAGGTTTTCCAGTGCCTCGCAAAGAAGGGCACCTATTGGTAGATTGGTTAAAAAAACAAAAGCTGACATTGAATATCCCTTTGAGCATGTTAAAGTTATTAATTACACTTTGGATGGTGTATCAATACAGCCAGTCACTACAAAGATACAGGCGTCCTTCCTAACTCAGTTGCCGGAGAGGAAGGAAACTGCTCAGGGATTTCTTCATGAGACCAATGGTGACTTTAAAACAGTTAGAGTTTAATGGTTGTGATAAGAGACGTTGTAGTTACTTCACAATAGTAACCTAATTGACAGAGTGAAAAAAAAGAAGCCTGAATAAAAATATGCATCCTGTTTGCAACAAGGCACTAAAGTAATACTACAAAAATGTGACTATGTCCTGAATACAAAGTGTTCTGTTTTGGGGTAAATCCAATACAACACATTACTGAGTACCACTCTCCATATTTTCAAGCATAGTGTTGGCTGCATCATGTTATGGGTATGCTTGTAATTGTTAAGGACTGGGGAGTTTATCAGGATAAAAATAAACAGAATAGAGCTAAGCACAGGGAAAATCCTAGAGGAAAATCTGGTTCAGTGTGCTTTACACCAGACACTGGGAGATTAATTCACATTTCAGTAGGACAATAACCTAAAACACAAGGCTAAATATACACTGGAGTTGCTTTAAAGAATAATGGGCAAATGTTGAACAATCCAGGTGTGGAAAGCTCTTAGGGACTTACCCAGAAAGACTCACAGCTGTAATTGCTGCCAAAGGTGGTTCTACAAAGTATTGACTCAGGGGTGTGAATACTTACAATACCATTTGGGGTCACTTAGAAATGTCCTTGTTTTCGAAAGAAAAGCAATTTTTTTGTCCATTAAAATAACATCAAATTGATCAGAAATACAGTGTAGACATTGTTAATGTTGTAAATGGCTATTGTAGCTGGAAACGGCTAATTTTTTATGGAATATCTACATAGGCGTAAAAAGGCCCATTATCCGGGATGCTGACCTAGGCAGAGTTGCAAAGAAAAATCCATATCTCAGACTCCCCATCTTAATCTTTTATTTTTATTGGCCAGTCTGAGATATGGCTTTTTCTTTGCAACTCTGCCTAGAAGTTCAGCATCCCGGAGTCGCCTCTTCACTGTTGATGTTGAGACTGGTGTTTTGCAGGTACTATTTAATGAAGCTGCCAGTTGAGGACATGTGAGGGGTCTGTTTCTCAAACTAGACACTAATGTATTTGTCCTCTTGCTCAGTTGTGCACCGGGTCCTCCCACTCCTCTTTCTATTCTGGTTAGAGCCAGTTTGCGCTGTTCTGTGAAGGGAGTAGTACACAGCGTTGTACGAGATCTTCCATTTCTTGGCAATTTCTCACGTGGAATAGCCTTCATTTCTCAGAACAATACAATAATAGACTGACGAGTTGCAGAAGAAAGTTATTCGTTTCTGGACATTTTGAGCCTGTAATCGAACCCACAATTGCTGATGCTCAAGATAATCAACTAGTCTCAAGAAGGCCGGTTTTATTGCTTCTTTAATCAGCACAACAGTTTTCAGCTGTGCTAACATAATTGCAAAAGGGTTTTCTAATGATCAATTAGCCTTTTAAAATGATAAACTTGGATTAGCAAACACAACGTGCCATTGGAACACAGGACTGATGGTTGCTGATAATGGGCCTCTGTACGCCTATGTAGACATTCCATTAAAAATCAGCCGTTTCCAGCTACAATAGCCATTTACAACATTAACAATGTCTACACTGTATTTCTGATCAATTTGATGTTATGTTAATAGACAAAAAAAAAGATTTTCTTTCAAAAACAAGGACATTTCTAAGTGACCCCAAACTTTTGAACGGTAGTGTATGTACATTTTCAAAAATGTCTAAAACCATGTTTTCACTTTGCTATTATGAGGTAGATGCGTAAAGGAAAAAATATTGAGTCAATTTTTAATTCAGGCTGTAACACAACAAAATGTGGAATAAGGCAAGGGGTCTGAATACTTTCTGAAGGCGCTGTAATTTAAAATATCCATCAATATTCGTTTTGTGTTAACAGACCATTTAGTTATGCAATATTTTCTAAAAAAAAAAAAGTGTCCTCCCCTCACCAACGCTGTTTGACAACACTTTACCTTCACACTCGTAATGTGGAAAGACTATAAAATTTGACTTATTTTTGCTGGTCTGTACATTTTATTTATATGAGATTATTTCTTAAGCTAAAGGCTGTACATAACTTGTTGACTTTGCTGAACATTTCTTTGGGTTGAAAAGGGTTTGTTACTGGTGTAGCCTATTTGTTAGGTCATGGGAGGTGGGTGGGCAAGTAGTGGAGGGGCACATTTTCAGTCAGTGTCATGTGAAGTTGGCAGTGGATGGAGAAGATGTGAATGAGTAAGTACCATGTTGTTGAGTGTACTGTAGTTTGTAGTCTAGTTGTTAAGGAAGTATAGTATCTGTCAATTGAAGTTTGTCTGTGTTCAATTGTAAGGTCAACCGATCCCACCGATCCCATCAGTGTTATATCTATATTATCTAATTCAGTGGTATCAAGGGACCTAACGAATGCCAGGAAAACATTCCCCACACCATTACACCACCGCCACCAGCCTGTACCGTTGACACCAGGCAGAATGGGGTCATGGACTCATGCTACTTACACAAAATCCTGGCTCTGCCATCAGCATGACGCAACAGGAACCGGGATTCGTTGGACCTGCCAATGTTTTTCCACTCCTCAATTGTCCAGTGTTGGTGATTGGGTGCCCACTGGAGCCACTTCTTCTTGTTTTTAGCTGATAGGAGTGGAACCCGGTGTGGTCGTCTGACGCAATAGCCCATCTTTGACAAGGACCGACGAGTTGTGCATTCCAAGATGCTGCTCTGCACACCACTGATGTACTG